ACTCTCTCTCTCTCTCTCTCTCTCCCTCACTCCCTCACTCCCTCACTCACGCACAGTCTGCGTATGGCTTTAACCTGATTTGAACTGCCGGAGGAATTTCTGAGAGTTGCAGGATTAAGATAAACATCAGTGCGCCAACTCTTACAGACTGATCTGACTGCGGACTTCTGCTTATGCGCGCTAGCCCAGTTCACTTGATAATTTCCTCGCTTTTTCACTTGGCTACTTGATTTTATTATTCTCCGACTCGTTCAGCGGTTCCATGTCCGTCTTCTTCTTGTTCATATTTATCTAACGTGAAATGTATGAAATGACTCCTACATATTACACATTGTCGGGAAAGTCTTTGGACTGACTAATTACATTAGGAGTATATATGGGCTTATCAAGCAGAAACTCACCGGGAAACAAAAGAGTCCCACTGAGATTGTAGAGCGATAATTAGAGGCGTAGGAATACTGGGAGCTTGAGATGTGCCACAGCTTGCCACAAACTTCTCGGGACAGCAATCCAATCATTTTTTAGATTTCTCATAAGGTGGCTATGCCAGAAGTATCGAAGATCGCATTACGATGCCTATCCACCCTTGGTATCGGTCTTTATCAATTAATTAAAGCATACTTATTCTTATTATGTTTTTAATTTTTTTTTTTTTTTTTTTTTTTTTTTTTTTTGGACGGATTATAAATTTATTGTGGGAAAAACGTTTTCTGCAAAAATTTAAAAAAACAATCGAAAAATATTGATATATAGATTTTTTAATGTTGCATATCAAATATCATTTTGCTATTTTTTCAAAACTTCAAATATCATCGATACAATATTTTCAAAATTTTCGACAACTTGAGCTTCGACTATGTCGAAGAAGATGAAGAATTTCATGTTTGTGAAATTCTGTCCGTAACTAGACAAATGTGTAATGAGGGAAAAATTAGGTCGTGTGCACGTAAGTCACTAGTTACGTTCATGCGAACAGAAAACAAGATATATTGTTAGGTGACAGAACTGCTTGCTATGCAGGCATACAATCAAATATAAGAGTACTTGCCCTGCTTTACATAAACGGCTTTATCCAATTCACAAACCTACTGTGTAGGCACAGTCGGCTGTGAAAGAGATTCGCGAAGTCTGGGTAGGAGAGTGCAATAGCTTAGACGTAAACCACTTTCATATCTTCAATGCTGAAATTGTATGTATGGAAATAGATTGTTCTGGATGTCGCGGACCGTTGAGCATCATATAACCACAGTCGCACAGTCGCTTCTTAATTCAAAATTCCATTCCCCATTTCGGCCATTTTGGTAAATTTACTGCTTAAGAACTGTACTCTGTGAGGGGAACACGACCACGTTAGGCTAAAGTTACTGGGAAACGAATCAAACTCGCTTCAATGGCAAAACAACGCATCATCGCTTCATCATCACTTCGCATGTGGAGCAAGCCGTTGCCCAATGAATGGAATCTGTATGTTCATCTTATGTTGATTAATATGCTGACAATTATAATTCTAATTAGCTTATACACGATATTATACACAATATAAGAGAGTTCTTAGCGTTATTTGTTACCAAACCAAAACGTCGACTACAATAGTCCATGTAGAAATTAGCAAGGTTAACAACCACAATAAACGTGCAAGTAAAGACAACAAATTAGTGCTAACGGTGAAGCCTTGAGATGCTAGCAAGGATGGAATCCACAAAAAACAGACATCAGCAGCTTGGACTTAAACCGTACGAAATAAGCAAGGAAAAGAACCACTCAAATGGAAGAGGTGTGTACATCGTACAATCTACATTGTGGACACTAAACGCTAGGACCTAGTCTATATAGAAATACGAGCAATGGGCACAAACATGTTTAACAAAAATTTCTAAAATGCATTAAAGGCACTTAGTGATTTTGCAAAAAAATATGTAAATAAATAGTTATTGAGGTTTGTTTCGTCCCCGGGAGTGTTGAATAAAACTACATGTATATACTCAACAATAGATGTCGCTTTAGGTTAGTATAGTGCACTTCAGATGGAAGCTGGCTGATATGTTACTATTATTTTATCAAATTCATGCAAAGGTAGTGTACTGACTAGGGCCGTCGAATATTTTTAAAATATCGAATCGATAAAGTTTTGAAAAAATATCAAAGGTAGTGTACTGACTAGGGCTGTCGAATATTTTTAAAATATCGTATCGATAAAGTTTTGAAAAAATATCAATATGATATATGATAAGCAACTTTTAAAAATTTATGTATAATTATTTTTCGATTTTTTTACTGAAATATATCAAAAATATTTTGCATACAAATAATATTGATATTTTGATATTTTCGACAGCCCTGAGTGACCATGTGAGTGTACTGACCATGGCTGGATGCTCTGATGCCGATATGTGGTTCGAAGTCTGTGTTAATGCATGGGTAAAGCTTAGAGGTAGGGTAGTCGAAAATACATATATTAAACTCTCAATACATCAAAAAAATATATTTATATATATCATCGATACGATATTTTAAAATTTTAACAGCCCTCGTTAGATGCAAGCGAATGACACCAAAGTTTAATATAAATGAATGGATGCTTATTTATTTACATATCTACGTTTTTGCTGTTACATTACTAATAACAATCCCTCTTTACCCTTTTTACTAAACTATAACTAACTTAGAACGAGAGAGAGAGAGAGAGAGAGAGAGAGAGAGAGACAAAGAGAGACAAAGAGAGAGAGTGAAAGACAGATAGAGATGATGTCTAAGGTAATGAAGGTACATACATATATTCTTAATATGCTTTATGCCATACCGCAAAGATGGGGCGATTCGCGATAACAAGTTAATGCGCAGCACACGACCCAAATTAAATTTAATAACCAATTAGGCATATTAATTTAGTCGTGTTGTATACACAGTTTAGAAAAGCTGCAGCAGCATTGCCACCATTCAAAGCCACCCCGAAACACTGCAATGCCAATATGCCAATAGGCTTTTCGAAAGGAACGGAAAGGAAGTGTTCAAAGTGTACCGGAGAGAGTCGAAGGTACCTTGGTACAAAGTGCCCAACGTCGAAGAAGCTTTCTGAAATCTTTTTTATACTCATTCACGACAGTGAAACGAGTATATTGGTGTTGTGCAATGCCCGTCTGTCTGTCCTTCTTTCCGTATGAAGGCAGTTTATTTCGGCGCTATGGAAACCAGAGACTTGAAATTTGGAACCCATACTCGTGTATGTCTCCTATTTATAAAGGGTTAAAATATTCCGGCCCCGCCCAGTAGGGGCGTGGCAGTATTAGGGATAAACTTAGCTACTAACTTGCTGATGGGATGTGAGTGAGTATTCTGCAGTTGGTAACGCCCGACTGCAACGTTCATACTTGCTTTCATATACATGTACATATATATAAGATTATATAGATACACATATATATGTATGGGCCTGCTGATTTTTGGCTTTATTGGCAAAAACCAAAAAGTCATTGGTAACAGTTTTGCACGGGCTATGCCGGCCTTAAGAGCTCAAGTCTTGAATCAACTTCATATCGATTCCGAGAAGCCGGCAAGTGCCCAACATTCGTTCGATTTGCATTCGTTTGCTGAGTTGCAGTTTGCGATTTGCAGTTCGCAGTTTGCAGATCGCAATTCGCAATTTGCTCGCATGAGCCACATCCATTTGGGAATATACATTTCGGTATTTCATTTGGCCGAGTGTAACGATGCGACTCGCTGCTGTTTCATTACTTTATTTCGGTCTCGCTGGCCTTTCGGGCCTGGGCCAAAGTGATTCGGGCCAGGCCTACATGGAGCAGTTCGCCCAGTTCAAGGTAAGTGCACAACCGAGTCAATGGCACGCGCTAACTGTGGTTCCTTGCCCCGAGCCGCCGTCTAGGAAGCCAACAACAGGAGCTACATACGCGCGCATGACGAATTGCGTAGCTACAAGGCCTACGAGGAGAACCACCAGATCGTGGAAGCACACAACAAGGACTACGACTCGGGGAGGAGCAGCTTTCGCCTGGCAGCGAATACCCTGGCAGACATGGTAAGCCAAAGATCGAGCTATTCATAATTTCGAGACGGGCCGTGGGCTATACTTGCATGTGGGTCATCCATCTACCAGAAGAAGAAGAAGCTGCCGATGCAGTTGGCATCAATGATGACCGCCTCAAGGCAACGACCGGGGTATTATACATCTCGTGGTCGATCGTTCTCTCTCCTCTCCTGTCAACGATATCATTTAGGAATCCGCCTAATATTCTGCGACGCTTCCAATCCATAGAGCACCGACTCGTATCTAAAGGGCTTCTTACGCCTGCTACGGAGTCCCCCGATATCGGCATCCGATAACATGGTCGATATAGTCGGAGCAACGCTAATGGATAATGTGCCAGATAGTTTGGACTGGCGTAAAAAGGGATTCGCGACTCCGTCGTACAATCAACAGAGCTGCGGCTCGTGCTACGCTTTCAGCATTGCCCAGAGCATTGAGGGCCAAGTATTCAAGCGCACCGGCAGAATCCTCTCTCTGAGTGAGCAGCAGATTGTAGATTGCAGCATATCACACGGAAATCAGGGCTGTACGGGCGGCTCATTGCGCAACACTCTCCGCTATCTACAGGCTACCGGGGGTCTCATGCGATCCGTCGACTACAAGTATGCCTCAAAGGTAAATGGGACATATACATACATACATACATATACATATACATACACATATACATATGCATATACATATACATCTCAGCAGCAGATACTACAGCATTAATAAATGAGTTTTGTATTGCAGAAAGGAGCTTGCCAGTTCGTGAGCGAGTTGGCCGTGGTCAACGTCACCTCGTGGGCCATTTTGCCGGCCAATGACGAGAATGCGATTCAGGCAGCTGTGGCGCATATTGGCCCAGTTGCAGTGTCTATCAATGCGACGCCGAAAACTTTTCAACTATATAGGTAAGGCTGGACCGAGCTATCTTGGAATATCTCAGATGATGATACAACCACAGTGCAATAAGTACTCTAGTTGTGTTTTTACTCATACACATACACATACCACATACACATGGCTAGGTTTATTAGAAATATGTTGAATCGAGCAATATGTTGAGTCGATTTCATTCGTGTCTGGCCCTCTGCTATTTTCTTCTTTTCTCTCCTTGCAGCGACGGAATTTACGATGATGTCACGTGCAGTTCGACTTCGGTTAATCATGCGATGCTGCTGATTGGATATGATAAAGACTACTGGATCCTTAAGAATTGGTGGGGAGAGAAGTGGGGTGAATCGGGCTACATGAGAATGCGTAAGGGCATTAACTTGTGTGGGATTGCCAATTATGCAGCTTATGCAATAGTTTGAGCCACGTGCTACTCCTACAAACATCTCTCTCTCTCTCTCTCTCTCTGTCTCTGTCTCTCACTCCGATGCCATCTACATCATCATGTCATTCAAGCAAGTTAATGAATAAAATCAAATCAACACATAAACATTACATACATACATACATCAGGCGTGTATTTACACCCTTGTCCCTTGTCCAAAGGCTTCATTTAATTTGCATGCCGCAATTTTGTCGGGGAAAGTTAATTAAATTAAAAGCAATATTCACAGTTCGTTGAATTCAAAATACAAAATACGTGTTATGTGCAAATTAGGGGCAGGGTGTCCAAGTCCCCTCCTAGAGGGCTGTTGCTTGGCCAGTGCGCATGTGCTTCGCAAGTGCCACAGAGGCCGTTGCACACGCCTCCGAATTGCGTATCGAGCGCTCCAATTGGCTGACAGCTGCCGCGAGTCATTCGCTCTCTCCCTGTCCCTCACCCTCTACTTCTCGCTCTATCTCTCTCTGTCCCTTCCACTCATGCAGACATTGCTCGAGCAACACTGCTGGGATGCATCCCGATTGGCTGAAATTGCTCAGCTGCTATTTATTCATTGGGCAAGCGTGTTTCATCTTGTTTTGTATTTTTTGTAGACTTGTAGACTTCTGGTTTTCAGAAGGAGTTCAGGTGAACGGAAATGTGTTTTCTATTCAGTTATCATGGTTGTTTCGGGACGCGCGCGATTTCTACAATTTTCGGAACACTTTCGAGATTGATACAAGTAAATATGGTGCTATCTAATTAAAGTGTCAAAATCATTTCAAAAATCAGATGAAATGAAAAACGAAAACAAATGTTTAGTGATCTGCTTATCTAACCAAACAGCGCAACTCTTAATTCAATAAGGCACACGCCCCTGCAATACTTAAAGATTTACACACGTGTAAGATGGTAACTTTCAGTTTTTCTTCTTAAATCTATTCAAACTTCAGATTTTGTAACTAATATTAAGGGTGTATATATTATCGTTAACATCCTCAACTGCCTATCATCATACCTATACGTCAAAGAGATAATCCTACCTTATATTCCAACACGATCAATTGAATGATTCATGATCACGAATGTGATGTCTCTATTAATAGCTTTTATTCCATAACACCATATGCTAGACTCCAATCGAGTATTTAAATCTACAAGATATTCACCTCTTGCCCTGCTCGCCTCCCGCCCTCACTTTCTTCATATTCTTGCAGCTGCTCACTCTATGTTTCCCATTCAAAATGGTAGCTTGAAATGGGAAATCAGGGTATGATGGTTTTGTTAGATGTATGTGAAAGGTATGTAACAGGCTGGAGGAGGTGTGGCAGTCCCCATATAGTATATACAAATATAGTATTGGTCAGCTCAATGAGTTGAGTGGATTAAGGGCTATTCGTCTGTCTGCCACCTGGCTGTCTATCTCTCCGTCTGTCTCTATGTATGAAAGCGTCAATCTCAGATGCTATGCTTGAAGTTTAATTTCGTAGGTCCGTGAATGCGAGGGTAGATCAAGTTTGTGTCTTAAGAAACGATAACTATTTTCGAGTTTTTTAGTTGTTATTGCTGTCATCTAGAACCCTTATTGCAAGTCTGCTATGAAATGCTTATGCAATCTTTAAAGATCAAGTCTCAAAAATTATCATATGCATAGGTTCTTTTGTAATTTATATAAATCTAATTTTCTATACCGGCTACTTAACTATAAAATATTAAATACAATACTTACATAGGCCATATGCGGAACGTTTCATTAGCTTCCGTTAAACACCTCATCGCACGCATACATTTAAACAGGGCTGCTTGTGGGCCTTCTGTGCATTCTATTTTATTCACAATCGTTATCGGATGATATTTGTATTGAACGTTATTTTTTCTACCCTGAAGCTATTGAAAATGGAAAATCAGGGCAACGGGCTGAATTGATCTAGCCATGTCCGTCGTTCCGTACATCTGTTCGTCTGCACCTCAAGACCTCAGAAGATATGAGAGCTAAAGAAATTGTACATGGACACTCGTGCATACCATGCCACTAACCATACAACACATAGACTGGACAAGTAGAGCAAATTATTACCATGGCCGAAAATCTGTATGGAAGAGACTGGTGAACCTCGTAATTGCTCGGCTTGGTCGCTTGAGGCTTGAGCAGTCCGCGGCGAGCGCTTTAACGAGAGGAATACTTTTTCATATGAAGCACCGCAATGCACTGTTTATACCCTGAACCCATTGCAAGTGGGAAATCAGGGTATAATGATATATAATAATGTGAAGTATGTAGCGGGAAAAGGAGTCATCGCAGACCCCATAAAGTATATATTCTTGATCAGCACGACGAATTGAATCGATATAGCCCTATCCGTCTGTCCGTCCGTCTGTATGAGTGCGTCGATCTCAGAAGTTATAAGAGCTAGAGAGCTGAAATTTGGTATGCATACTCGTGTGTACCATAAGTTTATCATATTTTTTTTGATAACTCATCCGATAACTTTTTATCGAGAATAATCGAAAAATTGATTTTGTTTTTTTCAGCCTAATTTGAACACTTTTAGACCTAGAAACTTCAGATTTACTGTGTATATACAGTTGATCGATACGAAGATTTTCAGATGTAATTTACAGATTTCGGATAGCACGTGCTTATACGTACGTATGGATGCGTGTGTATGCATATGTGCATAAAAGAAGTGCAGAATGAGTAGAATAGCAGCTTAGAGGGTTCAGGCCTTCTTACTTGTTTTTCTTTACCCTCTCTCCCCGTCTATGCTCTCTCCCATCCCATATGTATGAACATTCGTGCATCAGGTCACGAAAATTGAAATTGAAGAAATTTCTTCACGATGATCCCCGTGTTGGAAGTTATAGCCTGTGGATACCACTCCTCCTTCGCCAGTAATTAACAAGTAAGAAAGCTCTAGTCGAGACTGCTCGACTACGATATCCCCTGAGCCCATCGAGCAATGGCTATTTCAAAAGCCATTGTGCAAAAGCACAAGTCTCTAGTAATTGAAATACGCCTCTTACAAATATGTGGGTGAGTGGGTGAATATAGAATGGCGCGAGCCTGATGACGCGCAGTGTATATACGCCCACTAGGGTCGTGGCAAATCAGACCTAAAGATATAGTGATTTTTCAAATTCTGATATATTTTGGACAGTATTGATGCTAGAGACGTGAAATATGATATATACATATATGTATATACTCAGGCTGACCACCCAAGACCAAAGAGCTGAGGCGGATATATGTCCTCCCACAAGGGGCGTGGCAAACCGCAAAAGTTTATATCTCTAAACCATACAAGCTGGATAGTTATAATTGTTACGCCATTTTAGGGGCGCGGTATTTATCACATTTTTAGAGCGTAAGCATCATTTTGCAGTTAGGTTACCGTTAGCCAGTTCTGCGAACTGACCAAAAATGAGGTGTCTACGCCCAGTAAGGGCTTGGCATATCGAAAAGAACTGAATTTTCTACAATATTAGAGCTAAACTACTAATGATGGGATGGGATGTGAATGAGTATTCCGCAGTCCGTAACGCCCGACTGCAACGTTCTTACTTGTTTTTCAATGAAAAGGACCGCTTAAAGCCAGTATTTTTGTTTTTCATATGCGACGCCATATTCAATTTGCTAGCACTTGTTAGACTCATTCACGATAGTGAAATGAGTATATTGGTTTTGTGCAATGTCCCGTCTTGCTGTCCGTCCGTCTGTCCGTATGAACGCAAAGCTAGAGACTTGAAGTTTGAAACACATACTCACGATTTATAAAGTGTTAAAATTTTTCGATCCACCCACTAGGGGCGTGGCAAATCAGACCTGAAGATATAGTGATTTTTTGAATTCTGCTATATTTTAGGCACTATTGATGCTAGAGATCTAATCTACGCGGGTTGACCACCCAAGTCCAACTAGTTATGGTAGATATATGTCCGCCCATGGGGGGCGTGGCAAACCGCAAAAGTTTATTTCTCCTACAGTTTAAGAGCTAGAAGCTTCAAATTTGGTTAGTTGAGTTAGTAATAATAATTTTTAAGCCTCTTTAGGGGCGTGGCACATCGAAAAATACCCTGTAATTTTCACATTTTTTGAGCGTAAGAATTCAAATTTTGCATTTAGGTTACCGATTGCACACTAGGGGCGTGGCAGTCCCGAACGGCTAGAAAGTCCAGAAATCAATCGAAATTCTAAGGATGTGAGAAAAGGCGCCCTTCTGTCTGTACGCATAGAATAGACGATGAGTGTGTGCACATGTATAGGAAAATCGCGCTGATCTGCTGCTAGCTTGAAGCCGGTATCCAATATATGGATATAAATATATAATAAAAATCAAAATTGTATAAATTATATATGTATGTAATTTGAATGCAGTGATGCAATGATCAGAGCCATAGCTATCGATGATTTTCCAATTTTAATGGGATCATGCCCTGTTTTTTGTTGCGCACTAGACTTGGAAATTGCACTATATACTCTGGTTGACAGCGTTTGGGCTGTGAATGAGTCTTCTGCAATCGGTATCGCCCGACTATAACGTCTTATTGATATTTTGATATATTTTAGACATCCCTAGTTCAGGGTATAAAAATATGTTAGTAGAGCATATTTTTATTGACTTTGAAATTTTTGGCTGGGGTTGACCTTTCTGGAGAAATTCCCATATATATTCTTGATCAGGGTGACGAGCTGAGTTGATTTAGCCTATCCGTTTAACTGTCAGAAGATATACTATTATATCTTTTGAGATCGACGAATTTTTTGTTTGGTAGGCTCGTGTATGTCCCGCGCATTTGAATGTTAATGTGCAGGCTAAGCACAGCGACCACCAAGGTCTTTGGTTGCGCCAATGTGTCTCAATGAAGTAGTAATAATTAAGTAATGAAAAAATAGTCATGAGAATGAGACCGGCTCCATGCCCTATAGGAGGAATTGAAGAAGAATATCCTTCCCTAAGCAAGGGGAACGGTGCACGAATTACTCGGAATGGAATGGGTGCACCATATGGGGTATTATGAGATGGAATACTCGATTGTCCAAATAAAATGAGAGCTATATACTCGGTATATATTTATATTCGGTTACTTGAAACAAGTGTCAGTCCGAACTATGGCTACTTTTCCGCAGGATTCACATGCGAAACGATCTCTTCTCTCCTTCGTAGGGCAGGCATTTAATTTATTAATTGGAACATACTTCAAACTAAATGGCTTAATCGGTTTAATGGAGCTCTCCACTCTATGGCGACGAGTGGGCACACAGGTTTTAACAGGCTTACCTGTACGCTTATCTGTGAACAGAACAGTCACTTGTAATTAGGCAAAGTAAACTCAATTATCTGCGCATTTCATTTTCAAATGTTAATCGCCCAGCAATTTAACCCAATTAAATATGCATGATGTTTTACGTGTAAACAAAAGACCATCGACAGCGGCAACAACAACAACCAGCAATTGAGTGTGGAATAACGCTTACCCGCCCCCATTTGGAACACCTTCTATTCTATTTGCCTGTTGACAGTAACCACTCAGCCGAATTATTGCCAACTCATCAGTGGGTATTTTAGTCTTTATCTGCCTATCTCTCTTGTTCTCTCTCTCTCTCTCTCTTTCTCTCTCTCTCTATCTGTATATGTCTGTTTATACCCCTTATGCTTGTCAAAGAACAC